AAATCTTTTATGCTTAAGAATTGCAAAGTGAATTTCTTAGGAAATTCCGAGGTTGCGTTTTTTATACACCCTGTAAAACTGATAATATGAAATGACCTTGATATAATAAAATCATCAGTAACAAGATAAAGGCCTCTCAATCCTCTATCTCAACCTCGAAAACGAGGCTCTATGCCTCTAGACTAAGTACTTTCCGGAAGAGTCTATTTGCTGAGCACGTTCTCCAATCTTAAAATGCCGGTGTTTATACAACAAGCTGTAAAATTATTTGGTTTGTCCTGTGGGTAGAGCGAGGACAATGCCCAAAACTCCAGAGGGATTTCAATTATTCATTTCAGTTGTTAAAATATTATAAATTTAACGGCACTAATATACTGTCGCGTCAGCACGTTCCCGTCCTACATTCGTATCACAATTTTGGGTGACAAATGTTTCAAAGACACCCAAAGAAAGACAACTGAATTTCAAAACAACGTTAATAGCTCGTGAAAATTTGTAATTTATAATTTATGTTTGTATACCCTCATAGTTTCAAAATCTCCTGCAGCAAACGCTGCTAAAATGGCAGATCCCACCAGCACAGAATCTGTTTCACGAGGTAGAACTAGAGGAAGACCTTTAAAATGGTAGAACATTTTAATTAATAGAGGTGACTGCGATTTACAGGTTCCAAATGACGGGCACAACCATTTTTGTTCAAATTTTCATCCATGTCTGATGTTTTTTCTTAATTACCGTGCATGTTTTTCCGCAGTGAACCATACATGTATATCGCAAGAAGACAGAATAAGTAAAAAGTATGATCAAACTAGGTAGATATAAGTGAACTGTAAAAACAAAATTATTAGTTAACAACCATGCAACAATACATGGTTATCTCATTTTGAACCTTGTATCTTAACCTCTTATGAAAATGAAAGAAATTATATAGTGTTTCCACAGTGATACTTTATCGTGAGAACTGTTATGTAGTGTGATGTACAGTTGCTGTTTGCATCTTTTTATGAACGAATGGAAGTGCCTAAGAGAAAAATCTACATTATTGGTAAGTGTAAACCATAGATATAGGAGATCTAGATTGCTAACGCATACCTAGCGCAGGCGGGGCCTACATGATAAATCCAAGATGGCGGTACAACAGGGCAAAAAGACTATAAATGCGATTACGAAAACCAGGATTTTTGCATTTTTTGCCGTCGCATTGTTTTGAAACTTATTCGGTCAAATTTTATGGTAAAGAGAAACTTACCGCGAAGATTTTGAGTATATATATATGATTGAATTGGATGAAAACTCGCAAAATTATCCATCGATAAAAGTTCGTGTATAGTACATAACAGTTCATTTTTCATAATTATGAGGACAGAGCAGATGATGATGAGAGATGCAAGTATAAAACACCATTCACAAGGCTATAGATGTTAACATATAGCACAGTATTTCTGGCAATAAAACGCCCTAACTGACCAACTGACCATTTCACAACTTTTATCGCTGGATAATTTTGCGATTTTTCATCCAATTCAATCATATATATGCTCAAAATCTTCGCGGTAAGTTTCTCTTTACCATAAAATTTTACCGAATAAGTTTCGAAACAATGCGCGACGGCAAAAAATGCAAAAATCCTGATTTTCGTAATAGAATCTATAGTCTTTTTGCCCTGTTGTACCGCCATCTTGGATTTATCATGTAGGCCCCGCCTGCGCTAGGTATGCGTTAGCAATCTAGATCTCCTATATCTATGGTGTTAACTATTGCACTGCATGATGAAGACACTTAAATGGCTTCAAAAATCAATTCCTGTATATTTCAGCTTTTAATAAGTATTTCTATTTAGTTTGTAAATTTTGATCTATACATGAACCACAAAATTTACTTAAAATTCATTATACTGTATGTGAGTGGTTCAAGTAAAAATAGAACGTTATGCAAAGCATACGGAAATGACTTTTTTAACTCGATCAGAGCACGTTTCAGAAAATTTATTATGAATCCTGGTCGCGCATTTAGCATTTTTAATAGTTGACATTATGTTGGTTATGAAATAGTAAAAACGTCATTTTCCGTATACTGTGCATAACGTTTCGTTCATTAAACCACTCAGTGACACATATACATTTAAAATCATTATGACATAGTTTACCTGTGACGTCAGCATGACAAGTAACAAAAAGAAAATTCTTTGAAAGTCCACCACAAATGAATATTGCTTTGATATCATGTCCAGATGAATTTAAATGCTCAATAATTTGCTTCGTTCCACACTGGAAAATAATTACAAAAGTCACTTCTAGTAAAAATTATTGGTTCAGCAAGTTAAGTACCGACTAGAATCCGGGCCAAAACGATATGGACAACTCACAAAAATGGCCTCTAAATAAATCTAAATAAATGGATTCTAAATAAATCCCCCCTAAAAAATCAATGTTGAATCAAACTAAGTCCAGTTTTCCCTTTCTTTAGATTTTTTTTAAATGTATGGTTTTATAATGTGTTACAAAAACATAAAGTTTATGTAAATTAACATGGCCTATAAATTATAATCATTGCCGACCATATTTTTGGCCTTGATTGTGGCTTCTTATTTTTGGGCGAGGAACTGATTTTGATATTATTAATAATTTGCGGATCCAACTATCGACCATTTTGTCGGTAGAGAATAATGAAGAAAGGACTATACATAAGTACTAGTATTTATATAACAACAACAGTGAAACACGCAATTTGATTGGTCAATAGCCGCGCAGGATCAGGTTATACTGCACGAGGAATTAAAATCCCTTCGCGGGATTCTCAAAATGTCATTGTTTCACTGTAGTTATTTTATAAAACCATTACCAAATGGTTTTCCAAGCAGGATAGCGTGATCCATGCACTTGGGATGTTGCTCGACTTTCGGAAAGCGTGAAAATACACTCGCCTGCGGATCGAGTATTTTTACGCTTTCCGAAAGTCTCGTGACATCCCTCGTGCATGTATCAGGCAAACCTGCACGGAAAACCATTTGGTATTTCTTTATTCAGTGTACAAACATGAGCAATTACGTGATTGTCACTCGTTATGCGCACCGACAATTAACGCTTGAATTTGACATTCTCTGGCAGCTGTGCCTTCGCTCAAGACGTTGGAAAATTGCACGTTTAGTTTGTTTTATACAGTCAAATCGCAACTTTCAATCGTATGGAAAAAATATAACACTATACATACTGACAAAGCTTGTATTGTAGCCAGGTACAAAACTGCCAAACTTTTGAGATCTTTTGATAAAGATAGACCAGTTATCTATAGAACATTTTACAAGTAAGAAATGTATATAGAATGGTTTCTCAAGTTCTTCAGTTTACCGTAATTTTAATGACATATGATCTGACGTCATTTAAGCGTTCACTTAACTAAACTGTTGTCTTTAATTAATTAAAGAAGTTCACATTATTTACGCTGATTAGGGCATATTTTGATAAAAAGCTTCGATATTTAGACCAGCCAAAACGCGGCGACAACGCCGCCAATCGATTCAATTTCTACAAGCTTGCTCACTGTACATTATATACTCTCTCGGGAAATAGTTAGTTTTGTTTTCCCGAGAATCTTAGCCTGCGAACAGGCTCTCAAGCTGAATTGAGAGCCTGCATCGATGACTAATGAATTTGAATATCTGCGTCTCAAATCGTGACGCGAAATTCTCATTGGTCAGATGCTATAATTTATACGTTTCCGCTGAGCTCTATATATGTCAACTGCTGAAGCACTATGCATAAAAAACACATTAACTGATCAAATTGGTCTTGGCCATCTTATCACAAAGAACGAAATGTTCAGTTTTGAGAAAACAGTATTTAAAACATTTGAACTTTTGCTTGAATATCTTATATTTTGAAAAACAGTATAAACTGTACGGTCTAAATTTAGTTTGCACGGTCTAAATTTAGTTTGCACGAAAGTTGTAAACAACACCATATAAGGATAGACATTCCATATTTGGAAAAACGAACGTTACGGGGCAGATATTCAGATATTCAGCTTGAGAGCCTGTTCGCAGGCTACGAGAATCTGAATGTTTCCCGAGACGAAGTCGAGGGAAACATTAAGATTCGAGGGAAAACAAAACTAACTATTTCCCGAGAGAACAGGCATTAAGTGTTTGTTATATAGCGACGAACAAAAATCAACTTCAACAACATTCATACAACAATTGTATTTCGTGCAATTTTCAGCAACATATCCTGTTGCCTGTTGTGTATTTTTCTTCTCTTTTATATTCTTTATTTGAACACAAACTTCAGAAAATCGTAGTTTCTAATTATCTGAGTTTTGCCTCCATTTTGTTTATTTATGTACGTGGCCGGTCGGGGCGGGCAACAATTTTTCACTTGTTTCCCGGCGGGAAACATTGCATTTATCTGAAGTCACGTGACCACAAATCAGCCAATCACGTTTGGTGTTCACGCTAGCTATATAACAAAATATTTTGATTTAAATCTATTCACTTTGAACAGACAATTCCCATTATAGACTAATTCTTTATCTTGGCAAAAAAGTATATTCCAGGAAAGAGTATACTGAAATGAGTAAATTGCAATGTTTGGTTGCGAAATGTTGTAAAATGCGGAAAATATAGTCTTGGAAAGTTCGCAAATTTTGTATACTGTCTTTTGTATTGTGTGCGGAAATTGCTACTGTAGTGTATCGCGGTAAATATCGGATAAACACAGGAGTATAGCCGCCTGGTTTGGTGTGTTGTATAACTTGTATATTATGAGAATAAAAACATTATAAAATTACAAAGCGGAAGTTAGTAAACATTAGTGTACAGTATAATATTAACTTATATTAATTCGGCTGGATACTACATCTCTCCCCACTTTACTATATAAAGTCCTCTTATTAGTATTTGTCTATTTCGATAGACTGTTCTTTATGTAATACGAGTTCGAATACTCTAAACAAAACTTTTAAATTTCAACATAGCAAGTGTGTCTTTTTTTATGACACTTAGATTAACGTGTCCGTTTATGACGTTTATTAATATCTCTGGGAGGTGGTGGTGCAACTTGTTGCTTCAAGTTGTGTTGAGAATGTGGGATTGGATCATCGGATTCATCGACTGTCGCATCTTCCGTGATGAAGGTAGCTTTAATTTTTTTGAAAAACGAAACGTTGCGGGTAACTTTCTGAGAACCACGTTCAGCAGTGACCATACTTCCTTTTCTCGCTACGACCTTGTAAGGACTTGGATTAAAAGGAGTGGACAACTTGTTTGCTTTCGGTTGTTGGATTAGGACTGTATCTCCTACTTTTATTTCGCTGGTTTCAGAACGTCGTCGTTTGTCAGCGTATTCCTTCATCTTTCTTTTTTTCTCACTGTCCGTTTCGTGGATGGAATTATCTGCTTCAGGATTGGGAACTTCGGTGAGCTGGGGAAGAAGCGTTTGCAGTTTTCGGCTGTTTAGAGCTTCAGATGGGGATGTGTTGGTGGTGCTGTGTGGAGTTGCACGGTACTGGCGTAGAAATACGTTCATTTCTTGTTTCCAATTCTTTTTCTCTAAATGGGCTGTACGGATTGCTTTTTCGAGTGTTCGCATAAAACGTTCGACTTCACCATTAGCTAGGGGCCAATATGGCGTAACCTTTCTGTGTTGAAAACCAAGGAAACTGGCGAAGTTTGCGAATTCTGCGCTATTGAACGGTGGGCCGTTGTCTGATTTTACGACTTTGGGTATCCCTTGTCTAGAGAAAATACCATCGAGTTTGAGTATGGCGGCGTTTGCGGTTGTGGAATGGAGAATTTCGACTTCCGGAAATCTGCTGAATTCATCAATGACTACAAGTAGTGTTTCGCCCGATGGAAAGGGACCAACGAAGTCAATAGCAATTTCGTTCCATGGTGCTTTTGGTAGTGGGGTCATTTTCAATGGTTCTGGCATGGTTCCTTGTGTTGCAGCTTGGCACGGAATACAGTTTTTTATTCTCTCTTGAACCATTCTGTCGATCGACGGGAACCAAACTTTCTCGCGTAGTAGTCGCTTGGTCTTTACTATTCCCTGATGACCTGCGTGAGCCAACTCAATAGCTTGTTGCTGGAGTGATTGTGGAAGAACCAAACGTGTTCCTCGTAGGAGTATACCGTCACATTCGGATAGTTCGTCTTTTACATTTGTGTATGGTTGGATTTCTGGATCAGACCAAATACTTGTTTTAATTGCTTGCGAAAGTTTTTGGAGGGTGGAATCGTTCTCCGTTTCTTTCTTCACTTCTGACATCGTCATAGCTTTCAGAATTACGTTGTTGCAAAGATAGTTGACATAGTTTTCAGCGATATTATCCGGGAATGGAGTGGCTTTATCTGGATGACGGCTTATGAAGTCGGCAGGGTTAGCATCGTCTTTTCCTGGTCTGTATATGATCTCGTAGTGGTAAGGTATTAATCTCAGCTTCCACCGGTAGATTCTAGGAGAGGTAGGCCTGTGGCTCTTGAATATTCCGAGAAAAGGTTTATGATCAGTTATTAGTGTGAACTTCGCACCGTATAGATAGAGATGATAATGCTCAGTTGCCCAGACGACTGCGAGCATCTCTCATTCTGTTTGGGAGTAGCGACTTTCGACATCAGTCAGCGCACGGCTTCCGTCGCTGATGACTTTACCATCTTGCATTAGAATAACTCCTAGACCCGTCGGGTTTGCGTCAACGAGTACTTTGGTGGACTTCGTTGGGTCAAAATAAGCCATGACTCGGTCACTAGTTAGCTCATTCTGTAGCTTTCGAAAAGCGGTTTCTTCTTCTGTCTCCCACTTCCACACGGAATTCTGATGGGTTAAGGCACGTAAAGGGGCAGTAATGGTGGCATAATTCGGGATGAAGCGTGAAACGTACTGTGCCATACCAAGGAGGGACTTCACTTCGCTTGGATTTTCTGGAGGTTGCATGGTCTTAATGGCATTGATCTTCTGAGGGGCTGCTTTGATTCCGTCGGCGCTGAAAGAGTGTCCATAGAAGATAACTTCTGACTTACGGAATGCACATTTGTCTCGGTTAAGGCGGGCATTGTGTTCTCGCAGACGGGTTAAAATGCGGTTCAGGTTTTCATCGTGTTCTCTGACGTCACGACCGTAAACAATGATGTCATCGGAAATGTTCTTGCATCCCGGTAGGCCAGTTAAAAGCTCAGCAATTGAATTTTGGAATATTTCTAATGCGGCATTTATTCCGAACATGAGTCGTTTATATCGTCGAAGACCGACATGGGTGGAAAATGTTGTAATGTGCCTGCTTTCGGGTTCGAGCTCGAGTTGCTGGTATCCGGATGTCAGGTCTAGGCTGCTGAATACAGTCGCGCCATTTAGATCAGTGATGAGTTCATCAAGTGTTGGCATAAGGTGCTTTTCACAGCTTTGTTTGCCTCTCGTATGTCAACACAGAGGCGAATTTCTCCTGTTTTCTTTGGGACTACGACGATGGGACTGACCCAGGGGGTGGGCCCCTCGACTTTTTCGATAACATCGAGATCTTCTAAGCGTTGAAGTTCTTTTTCAACATCTTTTCTAATATGAAATGGAATGCGGCGGTGGGACTGTTGCTTAGGTTGGATCTCAGGATCGATATGCAGCTTGACTTTCTTGTCTTTGATCTTGCCGATGCCATCGAACAAGTCTGCATGGATAATTTTGTTCAGGGTGCGTATTTAAAGCGGTGTTCAATGCAGTGTTCACAGTTATTTTTAGGATCCCTAAGCTTTGGGCAGTGTTTCAACTCAAAAGGTTTCCATTTCGTCCTTTGGTGACGTAGAAGGTTGCAGTGACTGTGGTTGACCGGAAACGAATTTCTGCAGTAGTCATACCCAAGAGTGTCAGTTCCATATTTGAGCCGTATGTGTAGATCTTGGACTGTGATGTGGTAAGCACAGCACTTTGATTATATTTTCTGATCTTTTCGTATGTGGATTCATCAATAATGTTGACGGAGGCACCTGAGTCAATGATGGTTTGAACTGGTTCGTTAGCAATATGTACCTCACAGAGTGGTGACGTATTGTGTTGATGGTTGTTTTGGACGGTGAATAGATATTCGGGTTCCTCTGATGGGGTTTCCGATACTTGGTGGATTTCGCGTCGATTGGGTTTTGATCTGCAAACCTTGGCAAAATGACCGCTTTTCCCACATGCTCGACATTCTTTACCTTTTGCAGGACAGTCGCCGTTATGTGGAAAAATTCCACCACAATTGCGACATTTTTGAGTAGGTATTTGTTGATTTCCCGGGGGTATTTGTCGATTTCTGGTGGGAAATTGTCGATTTCCGGGGTTTTTTTTGTTGATTTCCAGCGTTCCCAAAGTATCTGGACTTCGATTGTTGATATTTTCCGTGATTTTTTCTGTTTCTCGTGTCTCTTTGGCTTTGCTCGTGTTTGATGGAATTTACGGGTGGCACGCCTTTTTCTACGGCTTCGGCTTGTGCTTCGCTCTTGTGCTCTTCCCGCGGCTAGTAGATCTTTGAGAGTTGGATTATCACGCAAAGCTTGTCGTCTTATACGTTGTGACAAACACCCAATAATTATTTGTGATTTTACTTCTTTATCGACGTCGGTAAAATCGCGAGTTGTCTCAGCCGGGTATTATATGCGTCAATATTTTCTCCGTGTTGTTGTTTTGCTTGGCGAAAATTGTACTCTTTGAATGTTGAGTTAACTTGAGGCAAAAAGTATGCATTCAGAGCGTCTACTGCTTCTTTATAGTCCTTGTCTTCGCCGGTATCAGATAAAGTATCGAAGATTTTGTCTACGGCCGGGCCAGCATAATGTAATAAAAGGGCGCGTTTTTGTTTTGCTTCTGTGATGTTCGTCGCTATAATAGCCATTTCTTCCATCGTGGGCCAACGTTGCCATCGACATGGACGTCAAAAGGTGGAAAGTTAGGCAAAGAAACATTAGGGGTTGCCATAAATGTTTTAAGTTCAAGCGCTTCGTTGAACAATAGCTGTACTGTGACTACTGTTGACTATTTTGGCGCGTTATTTTTTGTTTGTTTTGTTCGCACTTTGGAACTTCGTTCGGCCGTTTCTGTTGCTAAAAACTCGGTCTTTTTAGCAAAATAATCAATTTCGTCGATTTGATTACGTGTAGGTTTATTATTCTCGTCGCCAGAATGTAGTGTATCGCGGTAAATATCGGATA